AGTTGACCTCGATGATCCGTTTAACTTCCCGACAGTTACTTCCACAGGTCGAATCCTAGGTTTATACCTTAGCCCCAGGACCCGCTACCTTAACGGTATCGACATGGACAGCTCCCACCTTGGTAAACATACCCAAGGGCGCAACGGCCTCTCCAGCTGTAGCTATAAAGGTGCATAAGTGGAAAATTTATTTTAACGGTAAAGGAGACCGGTGGCGATCCTCGAAGGCCTTGAGAAAGTTTGCGAGTCCCAGACTATCCCGTTAGGCCGGTTATTACCCCCGTTACCGCATATCCTGGAAGGAGGAGCGGCCTTGTGGTTCCGTAATAACAAAAGGTTCTGGAACAATTAGGAAGAGTTTGTTACCGACTTTAAGGTACAATATTTCCCGACGAACTATCTGACCGAGTTAGAAGCCGAAATCAGCCGTCGTCTACACCAGCTGCACGAACCGATTACCGATCTGATTTGTCGTCACGGTGCAATTTTCGCCGACCAAGAGCTCCAATGATTATACCGAAATTTTGCACCGGAGTTTCGACTGCATGTGCGTCGTTCGGAGTGCATAGATCTTCCGCAGCCGTAAAAGGCTACGAAACGTTGCCTAGGGAGCTAGACCGCTCACTCCGCAGCGCTAATAGAGTTTCCCCGGGAAAGTTCCAGCCCACCCCCTGCTACGCACCCGCGGCTACAGCAGCCGGTCCCCAACCCACAATCCCGGTCTACCCCGTCTAACGCAAACATCCGTCAAGTTCTATGCTGGAGGTGTGAAGAGAACGGGCATTTTAAGGATAAATGTCCTGCCTGTGTCCGGGAAACCCGTCCAGTACTGAGGCAAGAAAGGATTTATTTAATTTTATTTTTAGTTTTGCAAGTTATGATTTTAGTTTAATAATAAAGGTTTATTTTTGTTAAACTGAATTTTATTGAAAAAAAGGTTATGAGAAGAAACTTTTTTTATCGAAGGAAGGGGGAATGTAACGAAGTTACTTAAATTTTCCCTAAATACCACCGTTTTTACACCCTGTATATATGTAGGTTTTAATATTATAATTCGAACGAGTGGATATGCGCCGTCAGGATTCCACTTCCACCCCGCATACCAAGGTGGCCCTTGCGAAAAATCTGCCTAAATTTTGGGCATTGATGCCTAACTTAGGCATAACTGCCAAAAATTAGGAATTAATGCTGAAAAGTTAAGCATATATGCCTAACTTGGGCATTTATGCCCAACAGTTAAGCATACATGCCTAACAGTTAGGATTGAATGCCTAACTTGGGCATTTATGCCTAACTGATAAGCATAAATGCCCAAGACTTGGGATTGAATGCCTAACTTGGGAATTTATGCCCAACAGTTCAGCATAAATGCCTAAGATTTAGGATTGAATGCCTAACTTACAGTTCAGCATAAATGCCCAAGAGTTAGGATTAATTGCTCAAAAATTTTGTATGTGGATTCAATGATTCAATGTGTTGAGATTAAATACCTATTTTGGGCATACCGTACCTTCATTTGCAAGCTAACCATAGGGAAAATACATTGTAACTGGACCAGATAAGTCTTAGTCAGCACGAAGCGAAAAACGTTGTAGAAATAATTTGGACGCGTGGACGAGTAGGCTAGCATGCGCCGTAACAGTTGACCTTGCTTCATACATAGATGCTTTATTATTGTTTTTTATTTTGTGCGGTGTAAATCTGGTAAAATTTGTTTTAGTACTCATGTCTCGACGACGCATCCAAATCATTTCTGAAAAGGTTCTCGCTTTGTGTTGACTGCGACTTATCTGGTCCAGTTACAATGTATTTTCCCTATGGTTAGCTTGCAAATGAAGGTACGGTATATATGACTGGTAGATACTACTTTTTTGTCTAATATGTAATAAGTAAAAGAACATATTCAAAGACCAAGCTCATCCTCCTTCGGACATCACATTAAATACAACTCCCACTCCTTCCGCCCAGCATCGAAGGCAAGAATCATACATAACCTAGATCTCAACAAATACAGCCTTAAACTAGACCTATTTGAAGATTTGGAAATATCCAACTCATTCAAAAATAAACCTGAACAATGCTTGAACTCACAAATTAATTTAAATTTAAACCATTATTTAAACATTTCCTATAAGCATTTCATGATTGATGATGAAAAAAAACATTTATTGATTCCGTCCTCCCCCCACCATTGCTTATTTTTTAAATAACCGTTTTGAGTTGTAACTACTGTATTTAATTGATTATATTAGTTAAGTTAATTTAAATTCCCCGCTAATTTTAAGATTATGAAGTTGGCACTAGTTAAACGTCAAAATTAACACTAGAGGCTAAATGTAGCAAAGTATTTCTCAAGGTTATGACGATTTGCTGTCATTTTGGTTATGCAGGTACACTGCATTTTGCCATACCAAACTAACTCAAACTTAACAACCCAACCCAACCGACCCCGCCCCATTGGGCCCCTTCACATAATAGTTTAAATGTACCAAAATATAGGTTATGTTTTGATACTATTATGTGAAGGGGCCCAATGGGGCGGGGTCGTTTGGGTTGGGTTGTTAAGTTTGGGTTAGTTTGGTATGGCACAATGCAGTGTACCTGCATAACCAAAATGACAGCTAATCGTCATAACCTTGAGGAATACTTTGCTACATTTAGCCTCTAGTAAATTAACGTGGTTTTTCTGTAAAAGATAAAATGTAAAGATTGTTATGTTAAATTCCCTTCAGGGCTATATGTTTTTCAACTTATGTTCACTGCTACATATAAATGTAAGCTCGCCTTGACAAGTAAGTAAAAAATTTTAACCCACCTAATGTTTACTTACTTTTCAGGGCTAGCCCGGATGATGTCATTAGATTAAATGACGAAAGCGCTTGGCTACTCATTTTTTTTAAATAAATATACCGACATACAAAAATACACCCCTTTTATTAAATTAATAGTTTTATTGAATCGATTAGGCATTATTCTTAAGTTAAGCATAATGCCTAAGTTAGGCATTATTCCCAAGTTAAGCATAATGCCTAAGTTAGGTACTCAAAATCATGTCTAACTTTTTTAGGCATTAATGCCTAAAAGTTATGCATTAATGCCCAAAATTTAGGCATTTTTTTGCAAGGGGGGAATCTGCGCCGTTTTGGTGCCATGATGTAACCGTTGCGCACCCGAGATGATAAAGGCAGAACAGAGCAATTAAGTCTCTTTTGATCCAGTGTTGCCACCACTATTACTTTAGTAATAGATCTGTTACTTTCAGCGAAAATATATTACCCTATTACGAAACGATGTAAATCTATTACTTTTGTTTCCTGGTAGGAATTATTTTTTTAAATATTCTATTGAGGTCCTGCCATAATATGGCATATTTCACTATCTGAAGCGAGTTTAGTAATTTTGAAACAAAAATTTCTGAACGCACTCGCCAAGTGTTATTTTTCTGTGCTGCCATCTGTTAATAAGATGAGTGCACTCTTGCGTGCATTGTTGCCACTGGCAACTTGTTAGACACACCACAAAAAATATTGTCGCAGCGCATCAAAAGTTTTGATTCAAAGCTATTGTAGAATTAATTTTTTGTTTTGTTTTTATAATATAAATAATTTAAATCTTGTTATATATTTTAATATTTAATTAAAATAAACTTATTGTTTATCCAAAATTTAAGATTTTGTTAATATTGGGTAGTTTTATTCCCTTTGGCAATTTGATTTATTTATATAAAATTATTGTACATTTTGATTTTATCTTACATGTGATTTCGTACATTGTACGTACATATAATTATCGTACAAAAAGGATAATTATTTATTTTATGGAAAATTATCGTACGTCTGGCAACACTGCTTGAGTATTTGTACTTAAATAATTTGTGTTTATAAAGTTTTTACTAAAATTATTATTAAAATTATTTATTCTAAATGCAACGGTAAAACGTCAAAGAATCAAAAAAATTTGATTCAAAATAGTCTAGTACCCATATATCTATCACTATATCACAGTGATAAATATATGCTATTACCTTTAATCCCAAATCTATTACATTTTGACGCATGCGTCTGTTACGAAAAAAAATTTATAGGTAGCAACACTGTTTTGATCCCGTCAGTCCGACCTCGCAAACCCGAACTATCGTAACTAATCATACCGTTAATTGACCATTATTATTACAAATATTTTCATCGTGTATAAGCCAACCCGGGCCTGTAACGCTCGGTATCTGCTCTGCCGTAGACAGTACCAAGCAGGCGAATCGGCCGATGACCTCGAGCCCGTCCCGTGTATGACGATTTGCTAAAACATATAATATAATTTGCTAGAAGTCCGACCTTCAGATTTTATATTTGTTGTTGGGTTTTTTATATTAACGCATTTTATTTAGTTATTTGTTAGTCATATACCGAGTGTTCGACTTTACATACATGATTGTCCATTTAATTCATTCATTTCGTATTGTTCTGTAATAAAATAAAATTAAACAATTGCCTTTTTAATTTTAATATTAGCTAACTAACCCCTGGAATATCCTTTCTCCACTGTCTAAAAGCAAATTTTCCACAACTAATTAGAGGCAATTTGTTGCTACCGTCATTTTAGCAAAACACGTAATTAAAAAAAAACCAAAAAAAGCAATTTGCATAACTAATTAGCTGCAAAAAAGCGACAAATTCTTGGTATAATGGCAATTCAATTTTACAAAATTGTTCCGTTAAGTTAACAGACTTACAACGCTCAATGAGCGTTTTCGGTCGTTGAGCCTAACATACAAGTTATAAGGTTTACGCAAATAACACTGCTGAATTAAATATTTTATGGGTATCAGGTTTACAATGAACAGTTTTCTTTTATTAAAATTTGTGGACGGCAAAATCTTGACAAAGATTTGAATTAATATTTTGTTTGTTCTCTTGTGGGTCAAAAAAATATGTTAGACAATAATGTAATCATGTTTGGATCTCATAAGATTTTTAAACTTTTTTAATCTTTATACTTTAGTATTACATATAATAGATAACAAGCATTAAGCATAACATACCATCATGATCATCAAAAAGTTCCTTATTCCCAGATTCAATACTTAGTAACTGCGACTCCAGTTTACAATTTTTTTTCTTTAAAATGTTAATTTCATCTTGTAGTTTTCTTGTTCCATCGGGAGATAATTTGTTTTCATACTCTAAGGATTGATGTTTTAAATTTAAAATTTCCTTTAAATTGGTGTTAATATACATTAGTAGATTACTTAAATCACAAATGCAGCTAAAATTTCAAAAAATATATCCGCAATTATATCTTGTAATTTAAAATCTTACCTTTCTTCTGTAAATGTAAAGCCTATAAATGGTAAATGAAGCGCTGTAAATGCATTATTAGAAGCAGGAGGTAAAGTTTCTGACATGCGAATATCAGCATCATCAACATCAAAATTAGATGTGTCAGTTGGACTTGATACTTCAGGAATATATGGAGCATTGCTATCTCTTATTTCTTCCCAATTTACATCTTTAAACCATATATGATTCTATAACATTTTATTTTAATAAAAAAAAATTTTAACTTTTTTCTTTTTTATAAATATTAAATAATTATTTCAGATTACTAAAGAATTATCATTTGTACTGATTTATTTTTGATAAAATGTGTAACATTATTTAAATTCTGAAAAATATAGCTTACAACTTCACAGGCAATATTTTTTTATAATGTACGAAATACTACAAAATCATAATATATGATTGTGTTGAAAAATATTATTTCTTTGTTATTACAATGAATATGTAATAAATTTAACATATGCATAAAGATTACAAAGACTATGCAAAAATATTTCAGTATTAATTCAGAAGAAACATTCATCACAAATAAGTATAATACATACAGTATATCCCTGGAGGGGTTACAAAGAGGCAACAAAATTATTATTATTATTATGATTGCCTATGGTTAATTTGCAATTTTGATTTTTTAAAAGTACTTTTCAATTTATCGACAAAAATACATTTCTCTGTCTGTTTTTTTATATGATAAAAATTAATGATATCCGTGGAGAATCTCAAGGGATTTGTGCCTACCGTGATAATAACATTCATTTTTTAGAAAGAAAACACAAATGAACAAAATTTAAAATCAAGCAAAAACTGTTATCAATGACATGTTCTAAGAATTTGTTTTCTCTTTGTAACCCCATCCGTGGACATACTGTATAAAAGTGTGTTCCAAAATGAATATTTAAAATTATTATTTAAATTGCAAGTATTTATAAAAAAAATGATTTTCTAAATAATATGCCCTTAGACTTCAGGGGCTGGAGAATTTAAATAAAAAACTTGCCCTTAGATGGCCAGCCATCTAATGATAAGCCCCTTAACAAGAAAAAATTAACATTACTGTTGTGTAATTATTACAGCTTTTAAAATTCCTGGATTCCCAAGTCAAAATTAATAGTTTTTTTCATATCGCCGTTGAAAATACGTTTGTTGTTTTTGACACTGTATTAAATAATAAAAGTTAACATATTTTTGCTTAGCACAAAAAACAAAATACGCCTTTACTCATTTTCAACGGCGATGTAAAGTTATGTTCTACGATTTTTCCATTCCAAGTTACAGGGTGCTAATTTTTTTAGATAATTTTCGAACACCAGAAGATAAGCAGACAAAATGTTAGCTATTCTTTTATTTGGTAATGCCTTTTTAATGTTTCTGTCATTTTCTAAGACTAAATTATAGCATACTTCATTATGTTCCTGTTACATTAACTTACCTGTGAGGAAAAACTGGAATTAAAGGGAAAACGGAAAGAGATAAAAATTGGCGCACCATCTTTTTATTTATTAAACCCTACGGCAATATCCATGTATACCAATACAATTTTTTTTAAATTTTACTAGGGTATTACCAAATAAAGCCATAGCTACAATTTTGTATCTATATATTTTAGTGTTTGAAAATTAATAATTATAAATAATTTTTAACACCCTGTAACTTGAAAACGAAAACCAGTAGGGTATAATTTTGTATAAAAAAAGGTTTTTTAATAGGAATCCACTGTTAAATTTTCTTCTAACATTACCGAGACACCCCGTATAAATGTTTTATACGCATTTTCAAACACACTTAGTCTGGTTAAGGTTAAAATTTACTTTAAAATCTTCAATCCCATTCTGTCCCATTCGAAACTCTTGATTGCAAATCAGCTGTTTAATTAAATCTTTTGCTGCATCAGAAATGTCTACATTGGCAGGAAAGTCAAAACAATTTTTATGGTTCATAATTTTACCATATGTTTCTACTAAGCTTTCAGCATAAAAGGGAGTTTCCCCAAAAAGCATTTCGTACATGCAAACTCCTAAAATAAAATAAACGTTTATAGTATTAACATTTATTTTAGCATGTACAGGTTAAGGGTACATTTTTAAAATAATTGTAACTTTTTTCTAAAATTTTCTGAAATACATACTATACAAATTTCTTGCAAAGATATATACGGGGAATAAATGTCAAAAATCTAGGGGGTGGTAGGCCACGCTGAAAAAAGCATTTTTTTGTCTTGACGACCTGTGTCCAGAAACACCTTCCTACCGAGCTACATACGTAAAAAACTGCGCACCTTTTGAATTTCGCGCGCGGACCGGCCGTATGTAACCGTGATTGTAACTATGGCATTGATGAATGACGCAAATTCAAACGGTGCGCGTAGTCTTGGCTCCTGTAGCTCTGTAGGGGGCGTTTCCGGACAGGTCTCCAAGACCAACAATGCTTGTCTCGGCGTGGCCTACCACCCCCTAATTTTTTACCATTTACCCTGTATGTAATAATAATAATATATATATATAAGAAGAGAAAATAACATAGATTGCAAGTTACATTAAAATCAATAAATATGCTAAAACACTTAAATATAATTAAACATTTGTGCGTGTATAAGATCCTTATTGTAGTATATTTAAGTCTGTACTATGCACACTGTCATAGAGAAACAAACACAAGTTGTTTGTTTCTTTACTTTGACAGTCTTAATTTATAAATGAATGAATATGCATTAAATTTGTTAAAGCAAGTTGTAGTTTCATTTAAACAAATTAATTTAAATTAATAATTATTAAGGACATTACATTTGGCGACGAGGATTTAAGCACCACGGGTGCGACGAACTCAGAGAAATGTAGCAAGTTTTCCTACATTACGTAATGTAGGAAAACTTCGCGTGTTGAGGTGCGGAGACACAGACTGGACAATCTTAAAGCCCGTTTAAACAATATTTTATTGAGAACAGCATTTATGATGAAAAGGTCCAAAAAGCACTTCTATTAAATGCATGTGACGAAGAAGCGAATCGTATAATTTATGGATTGTGCCTTCCGGTTTCTCCGTAGAAGAAGTCATATAATGAATTAGTGACACTTTTTGACAAACATTTTAAACCTGTAACAAGCCCATTTCCTGCAAGGTTTAATTCTATGGCGCAATTAAAGGTGCAGAGGAAAATATCAATGAGTGGGCCCGAGTAAGGAATTTGGCTTCAAAATGTCGATTTGGCACAGAGTTAGTGATGGTTTTGCGGAAAAAATTTTTATGGGGTTGGAAGGAAAAATGTTGGAGCGGATTTTTGAAGAAAAAGAAACGTTAACGTTGAAATAATCGGTGGAAATTGCTAGCTGTTACCAAGAGAAGATAGAATTTTCGAGTTAACCAAGGCCAACGTCGGCAGTTCAATTCAAATTTCGCACAGAGGTCTGGCAAATATGGAGAGAGGGAATCATCGGTTCCAGGCAACGTGGCAACAAGGTCAGCCACGTCAACAAGTTGCCATATTTGCGGAAAAACAAATCATCAAAAAGATAATGTTTTTATAAAGATTTTACATGTAGAATTTGCAATACTAATAGTTATTTATGTCATTAGGTTAAGAAGTAAGGCTTTTTGTGCTAAGCTCAAGGTTTGAAGGCCGACGCGTAGCGGAGGCCTACAATTGAGCGAAGCACAAAAAGGCACTTCTTGGCCGAATGGCATACAACATTTTATCTTCAAAGCAATTTATATAGGTCAATTTAATTCAACATCAAAGCGGCCTAACCTCACTTTTTTAGAATCTAATTTATTTATTAGCTAAAGATTACATTAAATGTACAATAATTATTATTGCTTTTAGAAGCAGTAATAGTTTGACAATACCTAGCAACATGATTTAAGTAGAAATGGATTTTTGCTATTACATTGAATTCAATTAATTGTTTAATAATAGGTAGGTATCTATAGATACCTAATATAATATAATATATATATATATATATATATATATATATATATATATATATAATTTCAATTTGTTTGGATTTTTATTTGAAAAATAGGTAGTTTGGAATGTTGAAGCTGTGTTTAACATTTAATTTCACTGAAAACTTAGAGCAAATTAAAACTTAAAGATAATTTAAATCGTAGAAAAAGAATCGTGCGTTTTCTTGGTTGCATAACCTCACTTTTTGTTTTATTATTCATATTTAATTTTACAATAATTTAATGAAAAATATTAAACATTAACAGTAAAACAAACAAATTAGTGCTTATTATAAATAAATTAAACCAGTTTAGTACGTTAATTTCTTAGAAAAGGATTAATTTGTCAAAAAAATACCCCTAGCGAGAAAAATCGAACTAATTACTTGCCTCATAAAATTTTTTATCGGCCTAGGCCATAACAAGGTATTTCTTTATCGAATGTTGACAACAATAAAGTTTAAATTATAGACCGCGTGTAGATAAAGGTCATTTAGCAAATAGATGTACGCGTCGATTCAATAATAATTGTTTGGAAGATAATGATGAAATCGAACACATTTACTATAATTTAACAGCAAACAATAACCCTGGTTAAAATGTCCCATAGAGACCCTGTTCAAACCGATAGATTTTTGTATTGGATTGTATGGTGTTTCTATAGGTGTATCGGTATGTATAGGGCCCATAGTTAGGATTTATGTTTCCTTGATTTATTTGCTTTCGGTCTCAATAGGGAAAATACACATAAATGTATAAATTAGTTTTTCTCCCATAGGACCCCATAGGTTTTAACAAAATTTTGTATGGTTGCTCTATAGGGATATCCCTATATATCCGTCCTTGAGTTATTTGCTATCGGTCTCAATAGGGGAAATGTAGATCTTATGGTGTACCTATAGGTAATTTCCTATACATTTTCTATCGGGTCGTATCCGGAAAAAAACCATGGACAAATGCACATATTGAGTCCGATAGAGCCCGATAGATTATTTTTATGGGGTATTTTAAGCAGGGAAACCTAATATTATTGACTTTAGTATTGACAGTAGAGACTTTAAATTTGAATTGAACACTGGTGCATCGGTATCTATGATATCTGAACATTTTGAAACCAAGTATTTTAGTGATGTAACTATGAATTTAACACAGAAAAAATTAACAAGCTATGTTGGTCAAATAATTAACCTTTTAGGTTATATTGATGTAAAAATAATTTATCAAATTCACTATTATTAGGTCGAGATTTTTTTAATAATTTTAATTTAACATTAAACCACCTAGAACTTCAGCAAACTGAACTAATGTTTTAGGTAAATATAATGGAGGTACTGTTCATTTGAGTGTGGAGGAAGGGATTAAACTTAAATTTTTTAAGCCTAGACCTTTATTATTTGCCTTAAAAGGTTGAGACAAAATTAAATTGATTGGTAGAGCAAAACATTATCAGTCAAAAAAGTTGTCAACCATAAGTACTCATAAGGCCTTAATTTATTTTGTACGAAAAGACCCTAGGGTCTTTTCGTACAAAATAGATTAGCATTTGGCATTTCAAGTGCACCTGCCTTATTCCAAATTATGGAACAGGTGTTAACAGATTTAGAAGGGGTAGTTGTTTTCCTTGGTACTGGTGCCTTTTTAATTGCCATTATCCATTATCCTCTGAAGTATGCAAACCTTCTTTATCAATATTATAACCCAGATAACTCATTTTTTTAAAAATTCACATTTTATAATGGAAATGGTTAAACCAAGATTATTTAGTCCTTGGTGATATTTTGGTCACGGGAAGCAATAAAGCCGAACATGTTAATAGAGTTAAGACTAAATAATTTTGGTTTAACCATTTCCATTATAAAATGTGAATTTTTAAAAAAATGAGTTATCTGGGTTATAATATTGATAAAGAAGGTTTGCATACTTCAGAGGATAATGGATAATGGCAATTAAAAAGGCACCAGTACCAACAAATGTAATTCAAGTAAAATCATTTTTGGGTCTGATAAATTTTTACAACAAATTTATTCCAAATGCAGCAACAGTATTGCAACCTTCGCATAAATTGTCACAAAAAAATAATAGGTTCATTTGGTCTGAAGAATGCCAATAATCTTTTGATTTGACATTTTTAGTTCAGCACAGGTTTTGGCACATTAGGACCCAAGCTTACCGTTAATATTAACAGTAGAGGTGGGCCGGTTTGCGATTTTTCAAGAGCTGCGATGCAATGCGACTGCTCCGGCCGGAACACTGTGACAAAAAGCAGCGATTTTTCGAAGCAATGCGATTTGCGATGCTCCAGAGCAGTTTTGTTTGAGCAGTGCCACGGTAAAAGCAAAACACTGGCGAAAGTGCGAACGGCGAAGCAACTAGAGATAAGCGATATTTCACGAACTGTGATTTTTTCACTGATATTTAAAAATCACGAATAACGACTGCTACTTACATCTATTAATTAGCGTGATCTGTGATTTTTCACTTAGCGATATTTTACGAATTGTGTTTTTTCACTGATATTAAAAAGTATTAAATAACAATAAACCGTGAGTTGCTATTTATCAAAATAATTTTTTTCACTGATATTAAAAAGCATTAAATAACGATAAAACCGTAAATTGCTATTTATCACAATAATTTAACATAGATTTTCGGCCGCAGGCAAAAATAGAAAGAAAAAATTTGAAATAGTTTTTTTAAACGCCCGTTTAAATAAGATTTTAAATGCCCGTAAGTATTAGGACAGCATAAAGTCGAATAGATCTGACTGCTTTTCCGTGGTACCGTACCAACTGTTTAAACCTAAAAACTATAAACATTTAAAAGCAAACCTAAGTTTAAAAAGTTTTTTGTACGAGTTATCTACCAATAAGTTCAATCACATATTGATAAATACATGTGGAACAATTCCCCACACGGTCGCTGCTGAAGAGAGCAACAGCGACGGCCTGGTATAATTAAAATTTCGGAGCAATTTAAATTTTAAATTGCTCCGAAATGTCGCTGCGATTTTTACTGCCGCGGAGCAGTTTGCGATTGCGACGCCACCGGAGCAGTGACAAAGTAGCAGTTTGC